CGCTGTATCTGGTTAACGTGCAGCAGAGCGTGAAGCCGCGGAGGCCATCATTGAGGAGACCAAGTCAGTAATCCAACAGGAGCTGGGCGGACTGGGAATCCAGTGGAAAAATCCAGAGTCCAGGGACATCCAGAATGTGGGTTCAAATTAGGATCAGAGCAAAGTGGTATGTCAAGATGACAAGAAGGCTCAGGGTTTAAGCAAAAGTCGTGGTGGTATGACCTTGGTAAGGCCCAAGGGAAGGAGGTCAGTAGGGAAAAGGAAATCAGTGGGAAAGAAAAGTCCTGGACTCTCCAAGTCTGGGATTTCTAATGGAGATGATTCCAGAGTAATAGAGAGGTCTGTTGTAGTCAGCCCACCTGGCATCAGAACACTAGGGAATAGACAGTGATACATGAACAAAACAATCACATCTGATAGTAGGGGAAGCATGAATGATGATTTGAAAGGAGGAAAAGAAGATTGTACTAAATCGATGACAAAACTTACAACCACAGCAGAAATTCACCATGTTCCACCAAATCCAGTGGAAGAAAGCTGTTCTGTTCCTCAAATACACAATTCTGAGTCTTGTGATGGAACAAGTAAAGAGATACTTCTGAATAAAGTTGAGAAACAACGAAACTCCAAACAAATGAAAACATCATCTGCCAAGAGATATGAAATTTCTTCAGGTACAATGATAGACATATCTGGAAATGTTCCCCAACTAGCTTTCCCTAAGAGTACAACTGCCTCTAGTTAAAATGCCCCCATTTCTCCATGTTAGATACTTATTCTTCAGTTGCTTCTTCAACTAACGCCATCGAAATCCCAGCATTGATATCTGATTTAATCAAGACAGGAGAAAATGTAAATAATGAAAAAGGCAACAGAGCAAATTCTGATGGGAAAGTCTCTTCATTAGGCGTCCATGAACCTGACTGTCTGAGAGATCCTGATGATACTGCAAAGACAAATAACAAACAAACTCCAGCCATCAAGCAAGGATCTGATATAAAAACTCCTCTTGTACAGAAAAATCAAATAAATCTCTCGTCTATGGAACATTTGAAAATTCATTCTAGTTCTAGAGAAATGGATCGAATGAGTTTGAACAAAAATCCTAAAGAAAACAAAGAGAAAGTTACAGAGGATATGTTTTGTTCAGGGGACTTTACCGATAGTGTTGTTTTTGAATCTCAGATGGATGTAGGTCAAGTAGATTTCCAAGCATTGGCTTCTGTGGGGAATTTCCAAAATCTGAGGAGGATTTATCTTCTCAGGAACCAGTGCCCGGTACTAATCATATAAAATCTGTGTCAGGTTTAGCCAAAGCAGATATTGGTTTCATTAATGAGGTAGGAAAGCCATCTTCTTCTAAAGAGAAAAGTTTTAATAAATGTATGCAGGGAAAAGATACATTGGAAGCGAGAATTTGTTTTAAACAATCCAGCCATTCCAGAGATGAACTGAACAATAAGGTTAGTGACGTAAAGGGCAAAAAAGTGAACTTTATGATACCTGCGTCAAGTAAAAGTGCAGATGTTAGAAAAGAAAGAAAAAAGGAAATTGTGAAAAAAGAATTGAAGATAATGCTGATCTTAATGATAAGTGTGATAAAGATTTGAATCTTAGCAGTAGTCTGCTGTTGTCACATGACATGTCATGTGATCTGTTACCAGCCAGTAACTTTGAGAGGTGTATGATGTCGGATGATGAATCAGATGTCAGTAAAAATGAGTCCTACAGGGACCTCAGAATTCCTTATCTTAGTGGACAGGAAGCCTGTTTCCAGGGCAGTGATAAAAAAGAAAAAGATCCCACTCAGACAGGCTACAGCCAGCTGTCACAGGACTTGATGCTGGCACTAGAACTCAGTGATACATTTAATGAAGAGAGTGATGGAACACAAACTAAAAAGTTCTCAGAAGCAGGCATTCTGTCAAAAGGAAGTAAAACAAATAATTATTTTAGAAAATTTGAAATGCCTGTCTGTCCGTCTAGCTGTCCGTCTGTCTTTCTGTCTGTCTGTCTGTAAACTATTTTTCAAAATACTACTCCTCCTACAGTTTTGGTCCGAATTTATCATAACTTGGCACAAAAGTAGACTACACTAAGATACATAAAATAGTGCATCGTTTTTTGATTTCGATGAACGGTGTTGCCATGGTAACTAAAAATTGAATTTCTTGTGAAATTCCTTGAAATGCTACTCCTACAGTTTTGGTCTGATTTCAATAATACAAAACACAAATAGACTACACTAAGATACATAGAACAGTGCATCGGATTTTGATTTCTATGAACAGTGTTGCTATGGTTACTAAAAATAGAATTTTCTGTGAAATTCCTTTAAACCGCTACTAGTCCTACAGTTTTGGTTTGATTTCAGTATTACTTGGCACAAAAGTAGACTACACTAAGATACATAGAATAGTGCATCGGATTTTGATTTCGATGAATGGTGTTGCCATGGTTAGTTGGCTACTAAAAATAGAATTATCTGTGAAATAACTTTAAAATGCTACTCCTTCTAAAGTTTTGGTTTGATTTCAATATTACTTGGCACACAAGTAGACTACACTAAGATACATAAAATAGTGCATCGGATTTTGATTTCGATGAACGGTGTTGCCATGGTTACTAAAAATAGAATTTTCTGTGAAATTCCTTTAAACCGCTACTAGTCCTACAGTTTTGGTTTGATTTCAGTATTACTTGGCACAAAAGTAGACTAGACTAAGATAGATAGAATAGTGCATCGGATTTTGATTTCGATGAATGGTGTTGCCATGGTTAGTTGGTTACTAAAAATAGAATTATATGTGAAATAACTTTAAAATGCTACTCCTTCTACAGTTTTGGTTTGATTTCAATATTACTTGGCACACAAGTAGACTACACTAAGATACATAAAATAGTGCATCGGTTTTTGATTTCGATGAACGGTGTTGCCATGGTTACTAAAAATAGAATTTTCTGTGAATTTTGAAATAACTTTTAAATGCTACTCCTTCTACAGTTTTGGTCTGATTTCAATATAACTTGACATACAAGAAGACTTTACTAAGATACATGGAATAGTGCATCGGTTTTGATTTCGATGAACAATGTTGCCATGGTTACTAAAAATAGAATTATCTGTGAAATAACTTTAAAATGCTACTCCTTCTACAATTTTGGTCTGATTTCAATATAACTTGGTAAACAAGTAGACTACACTAAGGTACATAAAATAGTGCATCGGTTTTTGATTTCGATGAACGGTGTTGCCTTTGTTACTAAAGATAGAAATATCCATGAAATTCTTTTAAAATGCTACTCCTTCTACAGTTTTGGTCTGATGGCAATGGCTTCTTTTCTCACCTTTGTTATAACAGTGTATAAGTACAAACCAGTAGAGCTACAGTCACGACAGAGACTTCTGGTTTTCAAATGTAAGATTAAGAGGTAAATGGATTTATTAAAATCTTATCCATTGTCTTTGTTCATAGAACTTCTTACAAAGCTAATCTAGGAGTGTTTTAAAGTAAACAACAGACAGGTGTATATATGTTTCCCTGTAGGTATTGGGGCTGGAGTAGGCTATGGGAGTCTAGGAATGTCCCCTGAGAACCCTGGAACGGGTCGACTGCGGGCCTGTACCGAGGCCGTCCTACTGACCCACTTAATGCAGTACCTCTATCTCTGTCTGACCAAAGAGAACCTGATGTCAGCCTTCCACGACATCGAGATGCCAGCTGTTATCACTCTGTCTCGCATGGAGATGAATGGATTTGGTGAGGACCATAAAGAGTTTTCATTAAGTATAGAAAGTGAATCCACACATTCAGGAAAACAAGCACCTGACTGATGATGATCTATTTTTGATTAAATAGGTCTTTAAGCTTGTTCATGTAGATGCTCAGCTGCATTCTTAAATCTTTTCTGAGACTAATCAATCATTTTCTTCAAAGTGAATTAGGAAAATAATAAAATTATTATTTTTAAATACTGTAGAAGTACTTTATTCCGTGTGGTATTAATTTACGCTATGTCACAAACTTTTCTCGGAAATTTGTCCAGGCTACTTAATATAAATGCAAAGCATATTCTGACAATCTAGAAAATTTGTGTAATTTTCTACCCGCGGATTAAACATAAATTGAGATTCCGCGGAATTATGACCCCATGGAAAAAAGTACGTCTACAGTAATCAAATCTACAGTAAAATGAAAAAAAAAAATACAATACAGGTTTTAATGATGAGCAGTGTGAGAGACAGAAGACAGTGATGATAGAACGACTAGGTGAACTTGAGACTGAGATGTACCAGCTAGTGGGGCACCAGTTTTCTCTGACGTCAACTGAAGATCTGTCTCAGGTTAGAGTCAATCTACTACATTTCTAACATCAAATATGGTCAGGGTTATCATAAGTTAAGTTAAAAGAATCACATTTCTTATTCATCGGAGTAAGATTATCTTATTAATTCCTTCTGACAGGTGCTATTTTTAGAACTATATCTCTCTGACTGGCGCTATTTATAGAACTACAGCTCCCTATTAATGGTGACTCTAGCAGTCTTGGACAACCCACCAGACCCAATAGACGGGCCCCCACAGGTCGTAGAGGCCGCCAGAAGACCCAGTTTTCTACCAGTAAGGACGTCCTCGAGAAACTGCGCCCCTACCACCCGCTCCCTGGGATCCTCCTGGAGTGGCGCCGGATCAGTGGGGCCCTGACCAAGGTGGTGTTTGCCCTGCAGAAGGAGAAGGTGTACGTGGAGAGGTTAAAGATGTACAGGATATTTACAGATGTCCAGTACTTCTCAGCCACAGGACGGGTCAGTCTGTCTGAACCTAACCTACAGAACGTCCCAAAAGATTTCCAGATCTCTGCCTCAGGTTTGTTTACCAGTCTAAATGTGCCATTGATCTCTGTGAATAAATTGTCAGAAATGAGACTGTATGGGATAAAGTTTTAAATTGATGCAATTAAGTTTTTTGATTGTCATTGTAAGATGGTAAGTTGGTATAAAGATCTTTAGGTATTCTGATGTGTTGGGATTGTACAAATCATCCTTTGTATATTTAACAGTCCCAAAAACCACTGACCAACAGATGGAGTGTGCTAGTCCTCTAGGCAGGACCCGTAACTCTGTAAGGAACCAAACCAGAGTTCTTCAGATGTCAACTGACCTTTCATTCAACGTCAGCATGAGACATGCCTTCATCCCTTTTCCAGGTATCATTAATTTGTTTTTATTTATTATTGTATTTTATATACAGATAATACTGTAGATCCAATATTATTTAGGATAAATATTATTTGGATTTTATCAATTTAAACGGTTTTTTTAAAAGATACAAGTTGATTCACTGTGAACCTAAAATTGTGAAGAAATGTTAATGTAACTTTGAGATAACTACATGAACTTCTTTAGATGTGCACTTCTGAATACATAGATGGAATGATTTTAAAAATGTTGCCCATTCTCTCTTGGCAAATCATAAATTATATGCATGTTTAATGTAGGGGGAGTTTTGCTGGCGGCTGACTACTCTCAGTTGGAGTTACGCATGATTGCACATCTATCCCAAGATGCCAAGCTGATACAGATCTTGAACGGTGACGGAGACGTTTTCAGAGAGACTGATCACGGCTCAGTGGAAGTCAGATCAGCGTGGTCAGAGAGGTTAGAGGTCTCCAGAGGAGAGACAGCAGGCTAAACAGGTGAGAGGTCACAGGGTAAAAAGGTCAGAGAGACAGCAGGCTAAACAGGTGAGAGGTCACAGGGTAAAAAGGTCAGAGAGACAGCAGGCTAAACAGGTGAGAGGTCACAGGGTAAAAAGGTCAGAGAGACAGCAGGCTAAACAGGTTAGGGGTCATGGGGTCAAAAGGTTATTCTAAAGAGATGAGGGTCATTGGGTCAAAAGGTCAGAGAGACAGGAAACTAAACAGGTGAGGGCCCATGGGTCAAAAGGTTAATCCAAACAGGTGAGAGGTCATGGGGTCAAAAAGATATTCTTAAAAGGTAAAAGTCACAGGGTTAGTAGTTTAATCTAAACAGGTGAGGGGCCATGGGGTCAGATTGTTAATCTTCACATGTGAGAGAATGTTTGGTGCTGGCACGAAAAAGATCAGAAAGGTGAGTGCAGCATCTAAACAGGGAATATAAAAATTTAAATTAGGTCAATAAACAGGTGAGGGGCCATGTAGTGTATTTTCACATGAGATATAATTTGCTAAATTTGGTCTCTTGCTGAAAAAATTTGCTGCCCCCCTCCCCATCTATTGTTTTATTGTCTTCATTTAGATCTGCAATTGTAAGATATATGATATTGTTTGTATACAGAACTGCTAAGGTATGGTCAGTGATACTATTGTTTTAACACGAATCTGCTCAAATTGATACAATCTTTAGTATTATAATCTTCATACAGATTTGCTATGGTATGATTTATGGTATTGTTATCTTTATACAGATTTGCTATGGTATGATCTATGGTTTTGATGTCTTTATACACTTTATACAGATTTGCTATGGTATGATCTATGGTATTGATGTCTTTATACACTTTATACAGATTTGCTATGGTATGATCTATGGTATTGGAGCCAAGGCACTGGGTGAGACATTGGGAGTGGATGAAAATGATGCAGCAGTTTTTATGCAGACCTTCAAGTCCAAGTACCCTGGTATGATCACTATGATGTTAACTGTTTTGAGCATTATGATTGAAAAAAAATTAAAATCAATGTATAATGTGACATACTGAATTATGTTTAAGGAATGAGGCGATACCTTAAGAACACATTGGATAAATGTATCAAGGACAAGTTTGTGGAAACTATCAGCGGGCGACGACGGTATCTACCATCCATCTCAAACACAAATCCCTATGTCAGGGCTCACGTAAGTAACACAAACACCTTTGTCAGGGCATATCAATTAAGTAACACATATTAATGTCTGGGCCTATGTCAGTAACACAGCCGCTTATGCAAAACAATGTACCTCATATCAAGGTCTTATAACTTAATCCTTTCTCCTCCCAGGCAGAGAGACAGGCTGTTAACACCACAGTTCAGGGGTCAGCTGCTGACCTTGTCAAGGTCGCCATGAACAGGATTGATCAGAGGCTCTCAGAAATATTTCCTCTCTCACAGAAATCACTCTCACACAAGGATCAAGGCAAGTTTATATATCTCCAATGTATATTTATTAAAAACCTGAAAAATTATTGAGCAAAATTTTACTGTTATTTGTTTGAAATAAGATGACCAACAGGACTGGTGCTTAGGCTCTCATAATACATTATTTCTTATGATAAAACCTTTCAGTTTGACAATGTGACAATGTGACCCTGAACTGTATTTGTAAAATTAAACTTGACCATAAGCTGCTAAACAATGGATTCAAATTTGTTTGCGTGACCCTTATGGGATGTTGTTAGATGTTACTGTGCGACACATCTATTTTAATTAGATTGTAAACTTGATTTGCTTCACTAACACCTCTATGTAAACTTGATTTAATAGATTATCAATTCAAGCAACTGATAACCAAGTTGTATTACTTATCATATTTTGTTGGATTTAGGTCCTACTCTTGATTTATCTGGTAACAGATGTTGTTTAGTTCTACAACTTCACGATGAACTGATTTATGACGTGACAGAGACCTGTCTGAGACAAGCAGCCAAGGTCATCAAACAGGAAATGGAGTCAGCCATGACCTTGTCTGTTAAAATGCCAGTCAAGGTCAAAAGTGGGTTGTCATGGGCAACAATGCAAGATCTTGTGGTGTGAATTATGAACTCTACAATAGAAATGTCCCTTGGCACTTGAAAACAAATATTGAGGATTTGAAAAATGACAGGAAGTAACATGTAAATGACGTCTATCTTTAGATATTATATGATAACAAAACCGGTCAATATTCTGTGATATAATTCTGTGATATAATTTCTGATTTTAATATGAAGGATTTTTTTATTACTATTAATTTGTTATGATTTGAAATAGACACCTAAATCAAATGAATTTCTAATGTGTCAAATGTAGTGAATATACTAAATATTACTGTATACAGACTGGGTGTCATTTGATCATTTGTATGTAACATAAAGGAATCTGATATGTATAGAATAAAACAATATTTTAATATGATTTAACATTTTGTGTTAATTAAATACAAATGTATATTTATTGATACATGTACAGTGTATATGCCTAATGGTTGTAATATGATTCTTGAACAATTACATGATTGAATGTATTACAGCCACATTTCCAATATGAAATGTAACAAATATACTAATACAAATTTTGTCACTTATATGATCTTTAGCTCATCTTTTTCGCATGCATTGTCTGTCATTACTTTTGGAATATTTCCAACTTGTTCTATAGATAAAACTGAATCAGCTTTTACCAATTTTTGGGTAGAAAGCATCAATAAATGAAGGAGATATTGATTTGTAAATCTTATTATCTTTGTCCTAAGGACCTGAGAAATGAGACTAAACTATCTGATTGAATTGAATTAAATGCTTTCTTCTCAAGTTTGATTTTTTATACATTCTCGAATCAAGCTTTATTGTATTTAACTGTTGGTACATATAATTATATGACCGAAGAATCCTCTTTTAAGCAAAAATGACATAATTTTATATTGTGTAGAACCACTATGGTCTCTACTAGGATTTCAGTTCTTATAATCCTGAAATACTGTCAAGTTTCATATCTAACTTATTATTTATTTATTCTAAAACAAAACATTGGGTTGATCTAATAAAACAAGTGCTTAACGTGCTATACACTAGCCTGAATTTGATAAAAGAATCTCCTTCACTCCTTCAATTAGATTGTGGTTAAAAATGATTTTTTTATCAGCAAAACTCAGAGGCAAAGTTAATATCGTTGCATAAAAATTATATCGATTCACAACCCGTGGGATATACACTACATGTATATTGGTGGTGTAATATGCTTAAGGGGGATTTCCGGGCAAGAACAAATTGTAAACAATTCTTCAAATGACAAGACTTAGTGCAATATAATTTGATCAAATTTCAATTTAAAGCTATATGATCTGAGCTGCATATTTGACATCGGAAAAAATATATTTCAGAATTGTAATTGACTATTTCAATGACAGGAAAATAGAATGTTTATAAACTTCTGTTGTTCATATTGCCATGGAAGAACTTTTTATAAGCTTGATTGAAGCAAAATTGACTTATTGTCATCCTGTACAATAATGATTTCTTATATAATATTGTATATTCGTTTGTACAGAAATATTTCTTCTAAAACATTTTTAAACTTTATTTTGGTGTTATTGATCATAATGGTTAAGATAGCATACAGATTAGTCATAATAACACATTTTACCAGGAAATTAAAATTCTCAAAAATGCAGCTCATATTGCTTTAAGTCGTTAAGAAATACTTTACAAATATGCATAAGTGAATGCAGAAATATGCCTTTGATATGTTCTCTTGAACTGTTTAACTACACAATTCAACAGAGGCAAAAAATGAAAAAAAAAATGCAAAGTGCACATTAATGTTCTCACTATATACAACCATTTTTTGTAAACAAAATGTCTAAATTTTGCACTGTTATATATAAAAGGTTATTTCGAGTTCAAAACAAGACACTGTTGTCTTCTAAATGAGTGCGTAGTTTGTAATTCAAAAAATCTTGCAGTTTTATTATAACGCAGCGGATATGAGTAAAGTAGGGATACTTCAGGTGTATGTAGGTCTAATAGGTATGCATCTCCACAAACCAAGATAAACTATAACTAAAGCAAAGAGAGGTAAGACAAATTACTAAGTTATGTACATGGAATCATAGAGTTTCCTTTAATGCACGAAATTTTCTATGGTTTATTTCGTCTGTTTCATCTCAATATTTGTCGTATTTTTAATTTTCTCGTTATATATACATGTATGCACATCGTATCGTTCCACGACAAAGATTATAAAGGAATTTCTTTATTTTACAGAATTGAAATTGATTCAAACAAGAAATCAAACTTCCGTGAAACAAAGCGGTAGTTTATTATTTAAACTCTTCTCTTTGTTGGTATATGAGTACAAGTTCTTTTGGCATAATTAATTAATTGATTCCCACAGTCAATTTCTGTGCATCCTTTTCAAAAAAAAAAATATATGAAATCCCTAACAAAAAATATAAAAGTTAACTATAGTTAATTAAAGTTTAAAATGGTTACAACTTTGACACCATAAAAACTCTTTAATGATTTAATTTACTAAATTAAATGTGATAGCTTCGAAAACTTAGTAGTATGAAACTATAGTGATCACTTTGAAAACTTTAATAATAAATCCTCATACCAATGGTTACAATAGAGTCAATAAAGAAGCTTTCTTAAAAACATGGTTTACCTCCAAAGTATTGTCAGCATATCAAATGAAACGGGCATATTAAAGGAGAAAAATTATTCGAATAAAATTTCAAAAAATTATTCCATGCCACTTATTATCAAATCATTAATCATTGAGCATTATCAGAGGAGAAAAAGTATTTAAAGAACATGTGCTTTAAAGTGGTTTATTGTGTGTGTGTGTGTGTGTGGGGGGGGGAGGGTATATGCGTTAAAATGGGTGATTGTAGTGAACAGATTAAAAACATTTTCTGTGGTTTGTTTTTGCTTGTGTTATCTCATTATTGTACACAAATATCTGTTGTTTACTTTTTTCTTTCTTTCTTCGTTCTTATTTCATTTTCCTTTAAGTTTTATGCAATACTAATTATTCATTTTAATGAACATTTAGAAACTTTGGAATATTGATTGCTTAGTATTATTTTTTTGTTCGGTGTATCATCGAATATTCAAAACATACTCCTAATAGGCTTCGAGAGCAGCTGTTCCAGTAGACATACGTTATTACAGGGAAGTGCGTGCACAAAATCTATAGCTAGAGTGTTTTTTAAACAGGAAAAACTGTGCCGAGTACCATTTAAGATGAAATAAATCTTTTTTTGCATTAAAATAGCTTTTTAAGTCCACACAGAAATGTAGACTATGCTGTCCTAGATTGTGACATTCTAGAGTGTTTTAGAGTAAGGTATGGATGTGACAGTATTGTACATATTATTGTTTTGTATATTTAGTACAATATGTACTGACCTGCATATATTGTCGTTCATCATTGCATATTGTCGCCGACTTATAGTTACTTAAAGTTATTTATAGTTACACCATTACATGTTGCCGCTCATGATATTATGCAACCTACCCTTACTGCACAAATTGTTGCGGTGTCTCCATATGAGTAAAAAATCCTCCAGAGGAACGTTAACTAACAAACAAACAAAAAATCATTATTTCGCTTCGCGGATATTGTTGTTGAAGGACATTTTGTGCTGTTTGTGAATGTATTTGCCTTGTAAATCAAACTATTGTGTCTCATATGCTAATTCATGCAGCACCATTGTGACCACACATATTGTTCATATTGAGTCCGGCGACAATGACATTTTTTAGCTTTTTTGATCATGAGAAGTAGACCTTTACGATATTTTTATGCTGTGTAAAACTGATCGCCAATTGTGTCCCAACCATATCCCATAGAGTCATGATTTGAAGAAACTTGAAGCTTGGCTTTTGATCTATGCTGTTTGCTATCTCCATATGCATTATGCATGTCAAATTTAAGCTTTGTTCTTAGATTTGATTATGCCCTGTTTAAAATATAGTTACTAAAATCTTTTTTAATCTCAGTCAAGTTAAATAGTATAAAATAATTACTTTTCTTAAGTTTTCGATTTTGGATCTAAAGAGAAACACTGATTTCTACCCATCACAATATATAACATGTCATATACAAATGTACAGTGCATATCAATATAATGCAATTCTTCATCCATGAAATCAAATATAACAAATGTATTGGTTTTTTTTCTTAAATAAAAAATGTTGACCCAACTAATATACATGACTTTTAGCTCTACTTAGCCGATGGCTCAAGTGAACTTCTCTGATCAAAATTTGCCCGTTGTCTGTCGTTGGCGTAGTCGCTTTCATTATCGTGGGCCCATTTCAACATAACTTGCTACAAAGTAAAGGGAATCCCCTGCAAACGAAGTTTAGGGGGGGGGGTATATTGGAATCACCATGTCCGTCTGTCTGTCTAGCTGTAGACAAGATTTTGTCCGGACCATTACTCAAAAACTATTGGAAGGCTTTGTCTGAAAATTTGTACACATATTATTCACCATATGAAGTTGTGACCTGATATTTTCATCTTGATTGGATTATTATTTTGAATATTACAGGTATTTTTTAATTTTTATTTTGTGGTTTTGTCTGGACCGTTTCTCAGAAACTATTGCAGGATTAATCTGAAAATTTGTACACTTATTACTCACTATATGAATGTGTGCACCTGGAATTTTCAACTCTTTTTATTAATTTTTTTGCATTTTACATGTTTTATTTTTTATTTTAATTGACTTGTTCATTTTGGGTTCATGTATAAGGTTTGAGAAATAGAATCTAGAATATCTGTTCAAAAATACTACAGCTTAAAACAACTCATAAAAACTTAAAAAAAAAGAAACATCATAAAGTGTTAAAAACAGTTTTTACATTGCACAGAAGATAATGTAATTTCATTTGTCTCTTGGGAATAATGACTGGACATGCATCCAGTTAAAGATAAATTAATGAGTTTGGCTCTTCTCTTATTCTCTTAATTGTAAATTTATTGTCTGTCAAAGCACTTCATTAC